TCACTTTTTTGGATTTTCTTGTATATATGGATGTCTAAAACTCAATTCCAAAATATTTTTGAAAAATTCCAATCCTTTACGAAATTATGACGTTTAAAAGATATAACCCCGATGTCGTCCCGTAAAATAAAACTAATGAAAGTGTACCCCCAAAAAAGTGACGTTTTAGGTAGACAACTTTTATCGAAATTTTGTTGTCTTTTAATACATCAGTACTTTATCACATTAAAATATTGATGCACACATGACTTTTCGTTTTCAATATATAAAAAAATCCTTGCTGCCGTAGAAGTCACTTTAATTGAAAATGTGCACAGTTATCAGTGTGCACTTTCATTTCACGACGTAATGAAAAGAATTTGTTATAGGGTTTAATACTTTTATTTGTATGACATTTTTGATATACATGTATATTTACTTTTTATTAAAGTAAAAAATTACTCTGGATAAAAAAAATAAATATATATATTATACGTCTTTTGTGACAAATTATTTTAGATTTCATTTCATGCAAAGGTTTAAATCCCCTTCAACATTACAAAAGAAATCAAGGCAATTGAAGATTTGAAGATACACAAGGTTCGAAATGCTCAAAATTTTACACATTATAGGTCAGCAAACAAATTATTTTAGCAAAGACTGTTTCCTTTTTGTAGAAATAGGCCTGCTGTTCTCTTTGTTTGTTAAATTAATTTCAGGCTTTGGCTGGATTGGTTTAGGGCAAACAACATCTTTAGCAACATCTGAGTTACAAAATTCGCGAATGTTGTGCTGCTTTTCTTTACAAATACCACTGTCTGATCAGATCTAATCCTCGACTTGGAATAGCTTCAGGAAGTTGACCACTCACTGGATGCATGTTATTTATCAATAAATTGACAGAAATTGAGTGTCCCGAGTTCCTCTCTTGAACTTCCACTTTTCCAGGCTTATCTGAATGAACTAAAAAATGATGGTATTTTGTCAAGTTCTTCATTGGCTTAAAAAAGTGCTGCAGGTATGTTTTCCAGTCATAGAATACAACAGGCTTTTCTGCATCATCTGTGAGCTGTGGAATGTTGTGTCCATTCTTACTGGAGTGTGCAACAGTCTCAGCTACCTGAATTCAAATATCGGTATTATTATATATAAGTGGTAAACAAACATATATCATCATTCATGCCTATAGAAGTTTCACTATTAGATTAAAGGTGAGTATTTCAAAATGTTTGTCAAATTTGACACTATATAAGCACATATATCATGTATTTTTTTCTTATTTCTGTCATAAAAATGTTTAATGTTTACGACAGAAATTAATTTCAGTTGAGATATTGTTTGCCAGCTGAACATGATTGTTGTAGGAATCAAGTAACAAAGATTTTTCTTCTTCTGTCAAAGTACCACTCTTTGAAATTTGGTTGGCAAAGTCCTGACACTTTTGGCAAAGATCTGTACATGGTTTTGTTATGACAATATGGGGACATAACTCTACCCACACTCTCTGAAAGGATCTTAGACTTATCGTCTTATGATGCAATTCCTCTGCAACTTTAACATATATTTTGAATATGTCTTCTTTTGTCTTATCCGAAGGCAGCAGTAAAACTCTAGCATCTCTAAAGTTGGGTAGCCTTCCTGGTAAAGGAAGGCATTATCTCTTGCATACTGACACAAAAATACTTTGATTCTTTCTCTGTCTGTGTATGTCAAACTGTGAGATGGAGCTTTACCTACTCTTCCGTGAACTCGTGGAGTCAACCCGTCTGTATCAAGAGATTTGGCAATGGCCAGCATTTTCTTTTTTTCAATGCAATGCAAAAAACAAAATGTTTTTCTGCATACACGTTTACCACGGAAATAAAATTCCTGAAATGTTCGTTCCCTCTCTTATTTTGTGTTTTTTTGCTTCAGTGTGTGTACCAGATCTACGATGCGCAAATAATTGAGATTTCACAACGATTTCCAACTCTTCCCTTGAAAGTTCCTTACACGATTCCCTATATTCCACGAGAGAGTCAAAGTCTATTGTTGTACTACAGGGTTGTTCATAAAACTCTTTACAGCCACATGTTTCATTTCTAAACTGTGCTTGCTTGATGCACTCAGTTGTATCCACTTCCGATGGTTCAATGTTTATAACTGATTCTGATTCATCTGATCCTGAACTTGCGTCAGAGTCATAGTTTATAGTTACGTTTTCACTGTCAATATCATCTTCGGAATCGTAATTAAATGGCTCGTCTGGTGCACCATAATACAAAACATCAACCATATGAAGTTCGTTGATGAAATCTTCATCTTGATAGTCCGTTAATTCCGACGGAACAGAGCTACATTGACTGTCTTGACTCATTGCATTGTTTATATTTCTCGCTCACGATAAACTTTCTACTGCATTGTTTACTTCCGTTACTATGGACGACGCGACAGTTTATTAATAGACTCTAGCTTAGATAGGTGTGGAGTGGATCTAACATTTTTATTTTGACACCACATTCATTGTACAACTAGCGTACATAAAACTTAATACCCTCGAATCATGAGTTTTCGTGGCATTACGGTTAATTTGTAATAAATTGCTTCAAGACTGAATAATTGAGATGTTTGTTATTTATCACACATACAAACAATAATTCTCCTTATTTTAAAATGATTTTAGCTCACATATCATTTATTATTTGTTCAGAAGGTCATTGAATTCTTGCATAGTTGCTCTTTCGATTTTTTTGCTGACGTCATATGTTTTCGTGGTATTTATAAAACAAGTAAACTATGGAAATCTAGTCGGGCAAAATCCTTGTAAATTTTACAGTGTCAAAAATACTAGTTAATTGACAAAATGATTACATTATTTGACATGAAAATTTATTTGTTGTTAATCAAGACCACATATATCTAGGCGTGCCTAAGCTGTATTGTTAAAAAATGTAAAAAAAAATTCTTTCTCAAGAGTGGCCTAGAAATAATTTTGTAATGCTTTATTTGAATGTTTCATGTTTTAAAATATAAATTCCATGTATACTTAAAGAAATTAAATGTTTAATTCAATTAAATATCAATGGCATAATATTTTTTTCAGCATATAACTTTTTAACACCCCCGATATTTTCTTTGAAAATTATATAAAAAATGACGTTACTAGATCACCGTAGAAAAAATATCAAAAGTGGGAAATTCCAAATTATTGTCACATGACCGGAAGCTGTATGGATAGTTAACAGACGATGATATGCAGGATCGCCGGCTATTAGTTTGTAAGTTTGATATTCTAGTTCAAAACACGACGAATAAACTTATATTACGCAGATTGTCAAATTTGCGAACTATGCATAACTCACTCGCTATATTTTATTTTGGCAAAGGCAAAAAGGTTTAACATTTGGTCATAAAACATGCACAGGGTTCCCCTTTATTAATAGCAAATATGACGTCATTCCGTTCTCGCATTGTGGGATTATTCCTAAAAATAAAAAATACCACGAAAACGTATATACCACGAAAACACATGACGCGACGGTATATTCAAAGGTACATTTATCCTACATGATTCAGAATTAGAACAGTGGACTTTTCCGTTCAATTTCGATCGTCGGGTACTCGGGGTTTGTTGAATAATAATCCGTTTTAATTTAACGATAATGTCGATATGTTTTTAAATTAACTCGGATGTATATATACTAATTGAGGATGTGGAAATAGTAGATTTTATTTTGAAAACACCAGTTTACCTGAAATAAAACACGTCAGATATAATGTAATGAACCGAGAAACAAAAACAGGAAAAGCACGTGTGCACGGCGTGGGAAAAATAACAGAACAACTCCGCAAAACTCGCTGTGTTTTGTGACGTTTTTTCTCTGTTTTGTCATCGCCGCATCTGGTCCCATTTTGCCAGACGCTGTCACATATACGCACAGAAGGACTCTATATTAGGAGTGAAACGGTTCACCGCGGTATTTTCTCTCGGTTCGATACACGGTACAAAATCTCTACTTTCGGTTCGGTTTGTTTTTCGGTCGGGATCGTCATTCAGTCGGGTTTGGCATAAGGTATAAACATGCTTCTCTGTATAATTAGTTCAAAAACGTAAATTTTTGTGGACTTAAGGTTTGTAAAATAATTTTTAACAGACAAATCAATTAAATTTATTTATTATATCCATTCTTCACATAATTTTTTTGACTAGATTAAGTAAAAGAAAGCATAAAACAACAGTTGAATATGTTTCCTTCTATCAAAATGTATCGTATCGAAAATAACCGAACCGAGACCAAATTTTACGATACGTATCGAACCGTGAAGGAGGCGTATCGTTTCACCCCTATGCTATATCCCTCTACAACTAGTTGCACGAGGGGATAACAAGGCCACAGCACTTCTGGACAGTGCAAAGGTCAACTATTATAAGTCAACCATAAAAAGCAAAAATCCAAAACTAATGTGGTTACACATTGAATATTTCAGAGTGTTTAACTTGGAAATATAAGATCTGAAAAACAGTTAGTTACAGCAGGAGTGCCATGGGGATCAATTGTAGGTCTACCTCTTTTCTTATTTTACATTAATGATCTCCCATCATTGACTGAAAATTCAAGCATTGACTTCTTTGCTAATGACACTACTCTACAAATTTCTGACAGTAATATTCCTTCCACTTATGTTATCCATTAACGTTAGAAATGTGGTGCTCATAGAATCAGATGATTTTGATCACTAGTAAAACAAAATGCTAGCTGCTACTTACTACTTTAGTGGGACTGGCCTTTGCCCCTGGTATACTAGCTGCAGTATCTACTTATTACTTTAGTGGGAATGTCCTTGGCCCTGGTATACTAGCTGCAGTATCTACTTATTACTTTAGTGGGACTGGCCTTTGGCCCTGGTATACTAGCTGCAGTATCTACTTACTACTTTAGTGGGACTGGCCTTTGGCCCTGGTATACTAGCTGCAGTATCTACTTACTACTTTAGTGGGACTGGCCTTTGGCCCTGGTATACTAGCTGCAGTATCTACTTACTACTTTAGTGGGACTGGCCTTTGGCCTTGGGGTGCTGCTTTCTTCAGACCTTGGAGTGGCTGCAGTCTCACTCTCGGCAGGGTGGGACTTCTTAGGAGTAAACTTGACAGGAGAGGCTTTTTTGGGGGTAGCTTTTTTGGGAGATACCTTCTTCTGTTCAGGTTTCTTTGGTGATTCCTTTTTCTCTGAGATCTTAGTAAACTGACTCTGCAAGAAAACAAGAGGCCCATGGGCCTTATAGGTCACCTGAGCATCATGCAACAACTTTCAAATGATTGAATTTGGTTCATGTTTTAAGCTAGATGCTATTGCATTCATGATTTTGAAAGAGGCACCAATGCTAATCATAACTATACACTTAGCAATTGTTTGGTTTGTTTACTTAATACCCATAAGCAGGGTAGGGGAACAAAAATGTATGTCAACTAATCAGTAATATTCAGCGACAATCAGGAGTGCTCCTACCACACATGAACCCCTGACCCTAGGTCTACACATTGCACAATTTTTGAAAAGGCACACTCGCTTATCAAAAATGTTTGATTAATACCAAGGAGCAATTCATTTTCAGTATATAAGTAGAGCCCCCCCCCCCCAAATTTTGGTATCCCAGACCCAGGGGCCTTGAAATTCACAATTCTGGAAGAAGAGCCCATCATAAATATGTAAATAGTTCATCTGCTTATTACCCAGAAGTAGAGAAAAAGATTTTCATAGATGTAATGCATTTTCACTATATAATCAATAGAGCCCCGCCCTAACACCATAAACCCTGACCCTGGGGCAATAAAATTCATAATTTATGTAGAGACACTCTTGCTCCTCATAACTATGTCCTTAATTAGTTTATTTAATACTCAGAAGCAGAGAAGAAGATTTTCAAAGATTTAATGCATTTTCACTATATAATCAATAGAGCCCCGCCCTAACACCATAACCCCTGACCCTGGGGCCAAAAAATTCACAATTTTGGTAGAGGCACTCTTGCTCATCATAACTATGTACTTAATTAGTTTATTTAATACCTAGGAGCAGAGAAGAAGATTTTCAAAAATTTAATGCATTTTCACTATATAATCAATAGAGCCTCCCCCTCACACCATAACTCCTGACCCTGGGGGCCATGAATTTCACAATTTTGGTAGAGGCACTCTTGCTCATCATAACTATGTACTTAGTTAGTTTATTTAATACCTAGGAGCAGAGAAGATTTTCAAAGATTTAATGCATTTTCAGTATATAATCAATAGCGCCCCGCCCTAACACCATAACCCCTGACCCTGGGGCCAAAAAATTCACAATTTATGTAGAGACACTCTTGCTCATCATAATTATGTACTTAATTAGTTTATTTAATACTCAGGAACAGAGAATAAGATTTTCAAAGAAATAATGCATTTTCACTATATAATCTATATAGCCCCGCCCTAGCACAAGAACCCCTGACCCTGGGGCAATAAAATTCACAATTTATGTAGAGACACTCTTGCTCATCATAATTATGTACTAAATCAGTTTATTTAATACTCAGGAACAGAGAAGAAGATTTTCAAAGAAATAATGCATTTTCACTATAAAATCAATAGAGCCCCACCCTAACATCATAACCCCTGACCCTGGGGCCAAAAAATTCACAATTTTGGTAGAGGCACTCTTGCTCATCATAACTATGAACTTAATTAGTTTATTTAATACCCAGAAGCAGAGAAGAAGATTTTCAAAGAAATAATGCATTTTCACTACCTACTTATTTAGCCCCACCCTAGCACTAGAACCCCTGACCCCAGGGCCATGAATTTCACAATTTTGGTAGAGGACCCATTGCTGATTACAATCATGCAAACAGTTTGACTGCTTGATGTCCAGGAGTAAAGAAGAAGATTTTTAAAGATTGCATTAATTTTAGTGGTTTTGGCCCCACCCCTCAGGCCCCAGGGGGGCAGGGATCATGAAATTCACAATTTTTGTTCCCCTTCACCCATAGATGCTTTGTGCCAAATTTGGTTGAAATTGGTTCAGTGGTTGCAGAGAAGAAGCTGAAAATGTTCAAATGTTAACGCATGACGGACGACGACGGACGAAAACAGATAGCAATAGGTCACCTGAGTTTACTCAGGTGACCTAAAAATGTGAAAAGCTACGATAGTTATTGGAGAAAACACCAAGAAGACAATATCTTTCTTTCAGCTGAAATGGTGAACGCTTGATTGATTCTATGTTGTTTTACACTTCATTTGAGAACTTTGACTCCTAGTAAGATATCACAAGATACAGTAGATTTTCTTCCTACAACATTTAAAAGTCAAATGACAGCAACTTTTTCTTAAATATTCAAATTTTGTTTCCAATGACAAATTTTATGCATTCAAATCAATGTTTTTAGCAGATTACTTATTAGATATGATATTGGAAGGAACAATCCTTTAAACATGTTAAAGATTGGCATCATAGTTATAAGAAATTGAAAGATTCACACACGTATGTTTAGTTGGTTTCCATGTGAATTTCCAAAGCATTTTACACAATATATCAAAAAATTGAAGTGGGCGACGGTAGCGGACACTATTTTCTAAAGGAAAATAAGAAATGAAATGAGTCATTTTGAGGCTTTTCTGCATAAAACTTAGAAATGCATCAAATAAAATATGTGATATTTCCAGAATGGTCCTCCTTTTTGCCATATTATTGAATGATTTATCATATTCATCTTATCAACTCATTTTCAAGCCAATTTCATAATTTTTTAAGAACACGAATTTTTTAGGGCATAATAAAGCCCAAACCGTACCTTCTTATTGCACCATCTCAAGAATTTCTAAATCAATTAAAAAGTTTGTTAGGTTTAGCTTAAGGACTGACGAATGGAAAGTCATTTATAAGGGTACATGTTCAGATCTTCACTTATCAATCAATCCATTATGTGACCAAGAATTTATGACTATTTCAGAGGTAAAGGAATCCATTTTCATGTGTGGAATTTTAGTAGTCTAAAATAGACATGGGGGTTTCCTTATGATTGATAGAATGGCCTCTTGATATAAGGGGACAAAATAAATTTATTTATCTATTATGGCATATGGAGCATTATCCATGATTATCCGCAATTACTCTTATATAAAATGTTGTACAGGTATATGTTTTTTTTCTTTCTTTATTTAGTAATCTAAATTTTTTTCCTTCCCCTTCTCTACTTCAGCATTATTGTAATGAAATAATACTGCTATCTTATAACAAGAGGCCCATGGGCCACATCGATCACCTGAGCACTGTGGCTGGGAAAAAGCAGAAATTGGATTATTATTGAATAGTTTATATCCAAAAGTAGTCCCATGACCAATCATGGCTTTGCTATTCTTGATATTAAAATGATTTTTAAAGAATTTTCCTATATATTTCTATGTAAAACTTTGATTGGCCTTTGTGGCCCCGCCCTACCCCCTGGGGTCATGATTTGAACAAATTTGAATCTACACTACCTGAGGATGCTTCCATATAAATATGATCAATTATGGCTTTGTTATTCTTGACAAGAAGATTTTTAAAGAATTTTCCTATATATTTCTATGTAAAACTTTGGGCCGCCATTATGGCCCCGCCCTACCCCCGGGGGTCATGATTTGAACAAACTTAAATCTACACTATCTGAAGATGCTTCCATATAAATATGATCAATTATGGCTTTGTTATTCTTGAGAAAAAGATTTTTAAAGAATTTTCCTATATATTTTTATGTAAAACTTTGGGTGGCCATTGTGGCCTCGCCCTACCCCCGGGGGTCATGATTTGAACAAACTTGAATGTACACTACTTGAAGATGCTTCCATATAAATATGATCAATTATGGCTTTGTTATTCTTGAGAAGAAGATTTTTAAAGAATTTTCCTATATATTTTTATGTAAAACTTTGGTCGGCCATTTTGGCCCCGCCCTACCCCTGGGGGTCATTATTTGAACAAATTTGAATCTACACTACCTGAGGATGCTTCCATATAAATATGATCAATTATGGCGTTGACATTCTTGAGAAGAAGATTTTTAAAGAATTTTCCTATATATTTCTATGTAAAACTTTGGACGGCCATTGTGGCCCCGCCCTACCCCTGGGGGTCATGATTTGAACAAACTTGAATCTACACTACCTGAGGATGTTTCCACATAAGTTTCATTTTTCCTGGCACAGTGGTTCTTGAGAAGAAGATTTTTTAAAAGATACCACCAAATTTTCAAGAATTCCCAATTATCTCCCCTTGAATTAGGGCGTGGCCCTTCATTTGAACAAACTTGAATCCCCTTCACCAAAGGATGCTTTGTGGCAAGTTTGGTTGAAATTGGCCCAGCGGTTCTTGAGAAGAAGTCAAAAATGTGAAAAGTTTACAGACAGACAGATGGACAGACAGCTAGACAGACGGACGCCGGACAAAATGTGATTAGAAAAGCTCACTTGACCCGAAGGCTCAGGTGAGCTAAAAACAAAACCAAAGACACAGAGTTTTCTTTAATGATTATCTTAAATTTGGGTCTTGCCCCACTTTTCTGTGGAAAGACCTATTGGAATTGTTCTATTAATTATTATTTTCTTCCACCGATTTTTTGTTTTGAGGTTTATCTAAAAGATTTTTTGTTCACCGTAAAGGTCATTCAAACTTATGAAAAAATTTAATACATTGACTATGTCCCCTTTCGGAGTTCTTGCCCCCTTGCATAAAAAACTTTAATTGTTATTGCTTCTCCTCCAAAACTGTAAACCATAGAGGTACAAAACCTGGTACAAAACCTTTACCAATGTCTGTGACTAACTGAGTACTCTCTTCAATTTATTCATTGTGAAAGTGCCTTATATACTCGAATATAAGTCGATTTTTGGGAGTTCAATTTTTTGTCCAAAACTCTATGTCCAACTTATAGGCAAGTCATAAAAATATTTGCAGTTTTCTGAATAGTGAAACGTAGTATTTCATAAACATTTCTGACAATTATTGTTTAAAATTTTTTTTGGATATATTATATCATTCTAAGACTTATACATAAACTGCAAGTATTTTCATATTTTGATAATTTTATTGTGTGTAGACTTATTTGTTGAATGATTTAAAATTACATTTTCTGGTGTAAATTTTAAAGATATCAATTGAAACCAGGTTAAAACATCAGAGCATTAATTGTTTTGAAATTGTCTACCAATTCTGGGAAAAAGTTGTATGGACTTTAATAAGCGGGTCAATGGTAAATCCCTCCAAATTTACCCCAAAATATACAACTGACTTACAGGCAGACCAACTTATAGGCAAGTATATAGAGTATTCCTAAACCCCTTCAATGATTTATTGCCACTGAAAGTTTTTGATGTTTACAAATACACTGTAACAAAATATTTTGAAAACAAAATTGTAGAGATATGGAACCAACTGCAGATGACTCCTCAACCCTTGACCTTGAAATTATATCAGTCAAAGGTCAAGGTCATTCAAAATATGAGATATGAAAAATATTTAGCATTTTCACAGCAAAATCTTGTTTTTTTAACACATTTAACATATATTTGCATTATAAATAAGTACTTTCAAATTTGCTTGGTACATTTTATTCATATCCCCTAATTGACCCATTTAAAAGTTATTGCCCCTTGTTCAAAAAGCATTGTTATCGCTACTCTTTGTAAACTGTAGAGACATGAAACCTTCACTAATGTCTTTAAATGCAACTTAAATTTATTCAGTGCACAAGAGTCTGATGACCCCTACTATGAGTTATTGATCTTAAACGTCTTTGCATTTACTATTCAACCAAATATCTGTAAAACTATAATTTGTAGAAGCATATTGACTCATGACCTTTGGCCTTTAATATTTGTTAAAAGTGAAAGGTCAAGGTCCTTTCAAAAATTTTATATTTTTTAAATTTTTCAAGCCATATGGACTCTTTTTTTTTTTTTTTTTTAAAATGAAATTAACTTAAGAGAATGAAATATGAAAATATTAGAAACTTAAAGAGGGTGTAAAGACCTCTCATTGTTCAAGAACAATTAGTCTACTAATTTACTCCTTGTTCACTTAGTCACGCTTCATCGCAATTACTGTCCAGGCACGGACTGTGAGACATCCTTATTAGTGACATGTGCTAAATAATTGGCATTGTTTCCAATGCTTTTCCTTCAACAATTTGACCTTTTGTTTCCTAAAACGAGTCGTGGATGGCAATGAGCGGGGGTGGCAATATAATTGAGGGCAATATACCAAGGAAGCACTGTATTCTGAAAATATTATATGTTAATGACACATCTAGATTTCGTGATCATTTCATTAAGATTCTAACTGGCATCTGCAAGAAAATTCTCAAAATTTTCAACTTTTCATTCTATGGCAATGGTGGTCATTTTGAATCATGTTCATCATTTCTGAAAGAAAATTGTTACAATTGTTCAAAACATCCATTAACAAGATGTGTTTGTGAAACGCTATGCGCCCGGCGGCAACAAAGTTCGAAAAAGCTATTTTTAGCATATATGTCACGGTCAAGGTCACAAGGTCATTGACCTTGGTGTCATTTGAAAAAACTTTATTAGTAGAGTATGCATACCAAATATAAAGTCCCTATCTCCTATGGTTCAAAAGTTATGGCAAAAAGTCGAAAAAGCTATTTTTAGCATATAGGTCACAGCCAAGGTCACAAGGTCATCAACCTTGATGTCATTTGAGAGAACTTTACTAGTGCAGTATGCATACCAAATATGAAGTCTCTATCTCGTATGGTTCGTAAGTTCTGGTGAAGGTTAAAGTTGACAACAGACAGACAGACAAACAGACAAACAGACAACCAGATAAACAGACAGGACAAAAACAATATACGCCCTGGATCTATCGATCCAGGCGCATAAAAATTGCTCTGAAAACATAACCGATCTAGCAACAATAATATGTCGGTCAAAAATCATATTTAGAATTACATAACAAAGGGAGTCATTGTCCTTACATAACTTCTAACACCTTTATAAGGCAGAGATCATTAGATGATCATGTATTTTTTCACACATCTGCACGTGCACATTGGAAAATCCGTAAAATCTCTGCACGTGGTAGAGATGTCAATATTCTTTATCTCAAATCCTATCTAGATTAATTAAGTTATCTGAGGTGAAGGTGTAAATGGTTTGTTAAAATTATTGTCCCCTGCTTTTTGTCCCCTCCAGAAAGCAAGGGGACATTAAATCTCAATTGTCTGTCAGTCTCTCCATCTGCTTCCAAAACTTAAACCTTGGTCATATCTTTTGAATGAGAAGAGAAAGGACTTTCACAAGTGTATTTCCTGCGACAAGACCTTTCGTAATCTACTGTGAATTTTGACCCAGAGACCTTGACCTGAAAGTTTGACCAACTTTTCAAAAACTCCAAGCTTGGTCATAACTTTTGAATGAGAGGAGATAATGCTGCTTTCACTTGCAAATTACCTGTGACGTGACGTTTCTAAATACACTACAAATCTTGACCCTATGACCTTGAACATTGACCTTCTTTTCCATAATGTTATTTTTTCCTTATAACTTTTGATTGAAGAGATGTTGCTGTATTGAAAAGAGGGTTTTCATATTTGACATGTGCATTTCCTATGACAAGATATTTCTAAGCATGCTATGATTCTGCCCCCTTTACCTTGACCTTCATGTTTGACCTAATTTTAAACAAGAGGCCCACGGGCCTTATAGGTCACCTGAGTATCATGTAACAACTTTCCAACAATTGAATTGGTTCATGTTTTAATTCAAAGGCCATGAAATTCAAAATTTTGAAAGGGTGAATAAGAGTAACTATGAGAAAATGCATTTCCACCTTACAACCAGTTGTGCACCCCACCCTACAGGAACCACAGACCCTGGGGGCACATATTTCAAAATTCTGGAAATTTTATCATAAATTTTATATCATCATAAATGGTTGATTAATACCAAAAAGCAGATATCAAAGCATTAATTTATTTTCAGACTATGTAACCCCCACCCCAAGTACCCTGAAATTAACCATTTTGGAAGAGGCACCTTTCATCATCATTAATATGTACTTAGAACATTGGCATAATACCCAAGAGCAAAGGAAAAGGTTTCCGAAGTATTGATGAATTTTCACTGTATGATCATTAGAGCACTGCCCTAACACCAAATCTCCTGACCCTGGGGCCCTGAAATTCATGAATTTAGAAGAGGCAGCCTTCTTCATCATAGTACATAGTTCATTGGTTTATACTCAGGAGCAGAGAAGAATTTTTTTAAAAGAATTAATGTATTTTCACTATATAATCAATAGAGCCCCACCCTAACACCAGAGCCCCTGACCCAGAGGCCATGAAATTCACAATTTTGGAAGAGGCACTCTTATTCAACATAACTAAATGTACTTGTTTAGTTTATTTAAAACTCAGGAGCAGAGAAGAAGATGTTTCAAGAATTACTGTATTTTTACTATATGATCAATAGAGCCCCACCCATATACCAGAGCCCCCAACCCAGGGGCCATGAAATTCACAATTTTGAAAGAAATGTTCCTGCTCATCATAACTATGTACTTGGTTAGTTTGTTTAATACCCAGGAGTGGAGAAGATTTTCAAAGACTTTATGCATTTTCACTATATAATACAGCACCGCCCTAACACCAGAACCCCTGACCCCAGGGCCATGAAATTCACAATTTTGGAAGAGGAAGCTTTATTCAACATAAATATATATTCGGTTTGTTTATTAAATACCCAGGTGCAGATAAGAAGATTTTCAAAGAATTCATGTATTTTCACTATATAATCAATAGAGCCCCTCCCTTACACAAGAGCCAGAGGGTGTGTCAGTTTCTTATCTTAGCTGAGAGGGTGTGTCAGTTTCTTATCTAAATTGATGTGTGTCAGTTTTTCATTAGGGTTGATGTGGGATGTGTCCATTTCTTACCTTGGTTGAGGTGGTTGTATCAGTGTAATACACTGGTTGATGTGGGTGTGTCAGTTTCTTAAATTGGTTGATGTGGCTGTTTCAGTTTCTTTCCTTGGTTGAGGTGGATGTGTCAGTTAATACTTACTTTGGTTGATGTGGGTTTGTTAGTTTCTTACATTTGTTGATGTGGGTGTATCAGTTTTTACTTTGGTTGATGTGGGTGTGTCAGTTTCTTTCCTTGGTTGATGTGGGTGTGTCAGTTTCTTACATTGGTTGATGTGGGGGTGTCAGTTTCTTACATTGGTTGATGTGGGGGTGTCAGTTTCTTTGGTTGATGTGGGGGTGTCAGTTTCTTACATTGGTTGATGTGGGCGTGTCAGTTTCTTACATTGGTTGATGTGGGCGTGTCAGTTTCTTACATTGGTTGATGTGGGCGTGTCAGTTTCTTACATTGGTTGATGTGGGTGTGTCAGTTTCTTACCTTGTTAGCTATTGGTGTGTCAGTTTCTTACCTTGTTTGCTGTTGGTGTATCAGGAATGACATCACTTTCATCACAAGCCTGTATTCTGGAGGCCAGTTTACTGGATAGACTCTGCCTCCCTGCAGTAACGCAACAATGTCATGACTAGCAACATGTCTTTTATTTTTTTTAATTTGCAAAATAAACTGGTAACATAAATAAATGCACATTTAAAATTAAAAAAAAAAACATTTTATTTACTGCTTTTTTAAAAGCAAAATGTCTTTCATCTATGAAATGTTCTCAAATTAAAATTCATAATCATTATATTAAAATTTGTGAACACAGTACTAGTATTAAATACAGATCCCTAGAAAAACCGAGCTGGGATCAAGTGCCTTGTAGGAATAAGCAACCCCTGTAGACATACCACTTTTGCTGTAAGCCCTATGTATTGATCAGATAAACTTTACATTCTGTAGTCAAAAGTACATGTATATAGACAAAAGCATAACAATTGGTAGGTAGCACTGTACAGTCAAAAATAAGACCAAATGATAGGTTACTTTTGCTAACAAGATCATTATAATAACAACAGAATTAGGAAATGATGAATTTTAACCAAGAAAATACTTGTAACATCAACTTAACTGTCAGCAGCCCACCTTGGGTTAAAATTTATCATATCTAGAGCATGTCTGGACTGATTTTAATCAGAAAGTTTAATCTACTATTTATTTGCTATATAAGATGACTGATGTTTATTTGAACATGGACTTACCACCTGTATTTGATAATTCCTGCTTGTCTTCAGTTTTTACCTGAAAATTTATAAACACTGTTGTCAAAATCAAAAAACTTTTTCATTGTCTCAAATTTTTCATACAGTCACTTTGAGAGCTACCATAGTTCATGTTATTTCTGTTATTCTGTATATTTAAATAAAAATGACTTGACTTTATTTAGCAATATCAGTTAAACAAACAAGAGGCCTATGGGCCTTTTCAGTCACCAGAGCAAGTTTACTTTTTCAAATAAAAATATATATTATTTTGTTCAAATCAATCAAAAATACATTTAAAAAAAACATTCTTACTCTTTTTGGTTTGCTTTCATCTGCCATGTCTAGAGTTTTCTGGAAGTCATCGTCTTCATGCATTTCTACATCATACACCATGGGTTCTTCTGTTTTACCCTGTAACCAAGTGACAAAAACCCAGTGTCAATGATGTTAATGTAGAATACAGATTACTCACATATTGTTAATGTAGAATACTACTGTAACAGTTATACAAATACATACAAAATATTGACACATTGTTATCCATATAAACTATAGAATGTATGATACAACTGACCATTATGTGTTTGGCTGCCACCTTTTTGTTGGACCGCTTCACGGATTCTCCTCCAAAGAAGTCCTGAACACTCACAGGAGTTTTTGTGACACTTTTGGTCTCCTTCTTTCCATCATTATTCAGATGTTTTTTGGGACTTGGTGTCTTTAAAAAGGCATCAAGTGTTGTTTTCATGGGCTTTTCCTCATCTATGGGTGTTCGAAACATTTAGAAATGAAAAGATTTCAGTTGATTCAGGACATTTTTGTTTATTAATTGCAAACTGGAGTGTTGCATTTTTATTTAACTCTGTAAAATCTGTAGTGATTTTCTCAACACTCTCTTTCTGTATCTTAACTAAAGAATGTTTCTTGAAAATTATAAATAATCAATCACATTTTTCTGCCTTCCATATCTGAATTTGAGTTTACCTGAGTCTACATGAAGTGACCTGGACTTTTTACTACTCACTAACCTGAATCTGCATGAGGTGACTTGAACTTTTTACTACTCACTATCCTGAGTCTACATGAAGTGACTTGGACTTTTTATTGCTCACTAACCTGAGTCTACATGAAGTGACTTGGACTTTTTTACTACTCACTAACCTGAATCTGCATGAGGTGACTTGGACTTTTTACTGCTCTTCCTTTTTGTTTCCTTGACATCTTCTTCTGAATCAGAGTCCAGCCTTCTCTTTGACTTCCATTTCTGTTTTGAGGCCACGACTTCTTCATCCTCGCTACTCACCTGTCAAAAATAAAAATTATAAGCCTGAGAGACTCTATGTAAGTACATGTATATAAAGTGTTTACCCCAATAGCATATGTTATGCAAAATACCGGTAAAATACTGCTTCATATGATACTGATAATCGTATTTCGTAATCTTTTAAACATTGTAATACATTCAAAATGATTTTGTAAAATTTTCCAGACTCGCTAAAATCGATTTCTCAGTGTATTTAAAGAGTAGGCTAATTAACAAAATGGATACTTAGTAAGGGTTTTTTTTATATCTAACCCTAATAATCATTTTGTATGAATTTCCTGAAATCCTTCAACAAGTACTGTATATACTCGCTTATAAGTTGTTTTTTGGGGGGATTTAATTTCTTGTCCAAAACTCTCTATCTGACTTATAGGTGAGTCATAGAATGATCGGTATTTTTATGGAAGGCAATATGAAGTATTTTAACTTTTTCGAAAATTATCTTTTAACAAAATCTGGTTATTATATCATATATGTTTTTAACACACGGAAAACTACAAGTATTTACATGTTTTAATGACTTTATTTAAGGCCCCTCTCTACACCGGCTAGTGCAAAATGTTTTTTGGACATTGAGAAAATTATTTTGATTTAAGGTGTAAATATAGAGCTTATCTATTTAATTTTCAATATATGGTATGCAGCATTTACCCCATGGAAAAATGTTCAAACACAACAGAATATCAGGGAACAGAAATCATTGTTGTTTACTTCCATAGAGAAAACAGATGCTAATTACATGTTCAATTAATTTATCTTGGCCTTTTAAAATATTAGGAATACTTGAATTGATGAAAAAGTAAATAATTTACTGTAAATTTCTATTAATTTAAATTTTAGATCACTCGACTGCAGAAAAATACCATAGAATAAGACTAGAACTCTTTAGTGTACAGTGTAGAGAGGGTTCTTAAGTGTGCATTACATATTTTTTTAATGATTTAAAATTACATATCAGCATCCTTTCTTAAAGTTAATTGAAACCAGGTTAAAATAACTGATCATTGATTTGAAATTTACAACAGCTAAATACTGCTTACTTATTATGGCAAAATGTTGCACTGACTAAAAAGCAGGTCAATCATAATTCCCTCCAAAATACCTTAAACAAGAGGCCCATGGGCCACATCGCTCACCTGAGTAACTTTGGTGATGCAGTTCTTTTCCAGATTTTCCCACTTCCTATATCTATTGTAACCCCCTAACCCCCCCCCCCAACCATCCCCATCTTGATTTTAACAATTTAGAATCTACACTATTCCAGGATGCTGCCACATAAATTTCAGCTTTCCTGTCCTAGTGGTTCTTGAGAAGATTTTTCCTATATATTTCTATGTAAAACTTCCCTATTGTGGCCCTACCCTACCCCCGGGGGTCAGGATTTTAACAATTTAGAATCTACACTACACCAGGATGCTTCCACATAAGTTTCAGCTTTTCTGGTCCAATGGTTCTTGAGAAGAAGATTTTTCTTATATATTTCTATGTAAAACTAGGATTCCCTATTGTGGCCCCGCCCAACCCCCTGGGGTCAGGATTTTTACAATTTAGATTCTACAATACACCAGGATGCTTCCACATAAGTTTCAGCTTTTCTGGTCCAATGGTTCTTGAGAAGAAGATTTTTAAAGATTTTTCCTTAATACCTCTATGTAAAACTAGGATTCCCTATTGTGGCCCCGCCCTACCCCCGGGGGTCAGGATTTTAACAATTTAGAATCTACACTACCCCAGGATGCTTCCACATAAGTTTCAGCTTTTCTGGTCAAATGGTTCTTGAGAAGAAGATTTTTAAAGATTTTTCTTATATATTTCTATATAAAACTTGGATTCCCTGTTGTGGCCCCGCCCTACCCACTGGGGTCAGGATTTTAACAATTTTGATTCTACACTACCTCAGGATGCTTCCACATAAGTTTCAGCTTTTCTGGCCCAATGGTTCTCGAGAAGAAGATTTTTAAAGATTTTTCAATATATTTCTATCTTCTATGTAAAACTTGGATTCCCTATTGTGGCCCCGCCCTACCCCCGGGGGTCATGATTTAACAATTTAGATTCTACACTACCCCAGAATGCTTCCATATAAGTTTCAGCTTTTCTGGCCCACTGGTTCTTGAGAAGATTTTTTAATGACCCCACCCTATTTTTGTCTTTTCTTGATTATCTCCCCTTGGAAGGGGACTTGGCCCCTCATTTTTACAACTTAAACTCCCCATCATCCGAGGATGCTTTGTACCAAGTTTGGTTAAAATTGGCCCAGTGGTTCTTGAGAAGAAGTTGAAAATGTGAAAAGTTTACAGACGGACGGACGGACTATGGACAAAATGTGATCAGGAAAGCCCACTTGAGCCTTCGGCTCAGGTGAGCTAAAAATACATCTGACATATAGGCGGACCGACTTATAGAAGAGTATAAATGCTAAAAACAATTTCAAAGAAATCTCATTTTCAACATGCATTTGACCATGTTGACTCTCTCTTTTTTTTTTTTTAAATAATATTAAGGTGGAATGCCACACCAACTTTTTATTTCATAGATCTTTGAGTCATCCTTTTTAAACAAGGGTTTCAGCATTGAAAGGTCGATATTAGCTCTTAATTATTTTGTATGAATTTTTTTGTATTTTTTCAAAGAAAATGAAAAAAATTAATTATATCCAACTAAGATGTTTTCGAGTTAAAAGTTTGCTGTAAATGAATGTATCATATTAATATCTAATAAAACATGTAAAGAAAGACTGGTTAGACTTTTTAATTTTTTTTATAAAAAAATATTTATGAAAATAAAACACATTATTTGTGAATATTTTTTAAACCTATGGTTAAAAACACCATAAAACTTGTCACAACTGAGGAGAACATGTTTGTCAATCATATTTTAAAAAGAAATTGAAACGAAATTGAGAAATTTTAGAGAAATTAATTTTTTTAATATTTGGACCTAACCCGATCAAAATTAAACTGATCCCCATCAAAATTAACACAAAATGAATAAACTACTAATTCATTGCCTCTTCATGTATTTGCAATGAAGAAATCTATTTTATTGTCAAGTTTAATAATGTTTTAACCCTTATTACACCTAATCAGACTAGTGTTCTTGAGGAAATGTTATTTATTTCCAATAATTGTACAGTTATGGTCGGGATCGGTTTAATTTTGACCGGGATTGGCCAAAATTAAAAAAAATAATTTCTCTATAATTTCGCTATTTTGTTTCAATTTCTTTTATAAATATGATTAACGAACATGTTCTCCCAGTTGTGACTGGTTTTAAGAAAATTCTAACCACAAATTAAAAAAATATTCATAAATAATGTGTTTTATTTTCATAAATATTTTTTTATTTAAAAAATTTTAATATCTATACGGCTTTTCTTCACTTATTTTATTAGATATTAATGTGATGCATTCATTTACAGTAAAAATTTTTTACAGGAAAGCGTCTTATTTTGATGGAAATAATTTTTGTCATTTTTTTGGAAAAATACAAAAAAAATCATATAAAATAATTGAGAGCTAATGTCGGCCTTTCGATGCTGAAGCCATTGTTTAAAAAGGTTGACTCAGAGATCTATAAAATAAAAAGTTGGTGTGGCATTCCTCCTTAAGTCAGGTCGTTTTTATATGTACAATATATTACTGATCTAAAGACAAACAATTTTAAAGATATTAATCCTTTCTTTAATCCTATCTCTTAGTTTTTGAATAATTACTGAATGAAGTAATTCAAATATACATTTAAAAAAAAAATCAGTATGGTATACAGATTTTACAAGACTTTCTTCAAATTGCATGCTATGGTCAAATTAAATATTTCTTTCTTCCCTGATATAATGTACAAAAGATAGCTTTGTCATTATAAGCACTGAATCTGAGGACATACTTCCCACGGATTTTTGCTGTTGTCTGACAACTTTGTTCAGGTGTACACAAGAGTGTTAACATTGGGTACTTGAGTGCTCACACATGTAAACAAAATGATTACATTTTCATTTTCAAGATAATGACAAGCTCTTTCAATAGTTAATTTGATAAGACATACTAATTTGGTATAGATATGGGCATAGAGCATGGAGTTCTTCTAAAATCAGCTACATCAACTCCTACTGATAACTGTGAATCATAAATAGTATGACTCAGCAATGTCTTAAATGATGAACCATTCTACATTGTAATGAATAGAAATAAATTTATACATAAAAACCATAAAACTTAACATTTGGATTTCACATATTTCTGATTGCTTGAGCATCAGGCCAGCATTTTTTTATTTTTAGGTTTACAAACCCGCCGCTCAAGTTTTTGAATTTTCAGAAAAAAAATAAAATTGAGAAAAACAGATTTTTTTCTTTCCGATGTCAAATTTGAGTCGGGATCGAGATTTCAAATTTACGAACTCGTACTTCCGGTTTTAATGCATGGTGGCGGGTAATGAATGGTAGAGAACGTAGATTTGTAAAGCCCATAGCAGCACTAAAGCTTGGTTTAATGTAAATATTTATCGATAGGAGTGCCATTCAAAACGTTTCACCCCTTCAGAGAACAAATAAAATGCAGACGACTTTGTTGCACAATGACATGTTGGTGAGATAATTATGTATCCGTATTCAACAGTATCTGTCATCTGTCTGTAAATTATTTTCCTCCCACAGGTTTAAAACTGCTCATGGCAGCTATTTTCAGAGACATTGTTTAGGTTTCTGTTATAGCTTACAGTCTTAGTATCATTCTTCAGAAAAGGGTCGCTTATGCATCAGATGTAATGGATAAAACTGTGGGAGAAGTTAAGTCCATTTGAGGAAGAAGTAAACAATAGCCTAAAGAAATAAAATATATCAACTATTTAAAAACAAGTATATACAAATATATACAGGCATGTAGTATCGTTTGTGGCAGCCAGAAAAATTATTTTTCACTTAATTAAAAAAAATTCCATCCTTTTCCCCAATACTCCATGTCTGTTTTATGAAAGGAATTATTATTTTAGGTCTCAAGTATATTTTAGAACAATTTCAACACCTTCACCTAACACATATTAAAAATAAAAATGAAGATATATATTGAAAGAGATTTAAAAAACTGATTTTTAAAAAAAATCTGTATTTTGTCCAACATCATAAGATTTATATCACTGGCCCCAACTGGTAGATTATGAAATAAACAATTAAAGTTTCTTTTTTCCCCTTTGTAACCCTTATGTGTCCAGTGGCAAAGAGCCTGTTAGGAGAGCATAAAATAGAAGCAAAAATTAATGTAGAAAAGTTGATAATGTATCCAAAAAAATATTTTTATTTTTATTTTTATTTCCTCCTCCTACGGGACTTTTTCACTCTGATGTTCGTAAACCTAAAAATAAAAAAATGCTGGCCTCAAGGGGAGAAAATGACATTAAAACATCTTTTCATTTTGATATAGTCTCTACCAGCTAAAATTGAGAAAAATATTTGTTCCTATATTTTACTCAAAAGAACAAGGGTGCTTTTGATCATGTTGACTGGCCTTTGGCGGGAATCGGGGCACAACTGAAAAGTGAAAATTTCATTGACGCGTCACTTGAAATTTTTATACTGTTAAAATTAGTTTATGTATCAGGTTCCTGTGAAATAGGAAAGGGAAATATTTTCCTGATATTCAATTTGATTTGCCAAAATTGAACTTGAAAATTGACAAGATGATTCATTTGGTACAAAATGTTACATTTTTAAAAGTTTTTCTTAAAAAAAAAGATGCTAGCACGTCTCATGAAATATGCCTACATGATAAGTCTGTGTGATTCACACACCAATAACTCACATAAGACTTGAAAATGTTCCTTAAATGTATAAATTCTGGTTCTGTTGCACAGTGGGTGATTTTAAGCAATTCTCTAAACCTACTGATTCTTTAATATACACATGTTGTGACATGTACTTGTAATTAAATTTAACAATACCCTAGCTATCATCTAACAGCAGTTTATTATTTATGTGAAGTGTGACTAAGTTATACATGCAGTAATTATTTAGATAAGCAGGCTTAATATTATTAAATTTAACAAAGTATTTTTAACTTAAGGTCAAGATCTAGTAAATGAAAGGTGCCTACAGATTTATCAAACTTGAGAAATAAATTCCTTTATTGGTGCTTAACAACTTTAGCTTGGTCAAATATGGTGTTTCGGGGCATAATTTTTAGGTAAACAAGATGAAAAACTGTATTTTAAACTGTCATTTTTAATGCAAAATTAAGAAAACCAGAATGAATATTGGAGTTTTTTTCGTATTCGGCAAAGGAAATGTATCCAGATTGCCTACAGTCACTCGGAAAACGGTAATTAGTATTTTCATGGCCTCTTCTTTAAATCAATATCAAATTTAATATAGGTATCCGGTTGACTTTTCATATGATTTCAAATTGAATGACATGAAAATACCCTATTTTCTACATAATTCTGCTAAAGCCGTAAAGTACGGGAAAAAGAAAGTTGACATTGATTATGACGTCATAATGGATCTAGCACCAAAAAATTAGTCTCAAGTTATTTACTAGATCTTGACCTTAATGTGTAACATTTTCTCATCTGCATAACTTTGTAAAGAATGACCAGGCTTAAAAAAAAATATGTTTGTTTCCTGTAACATTCCCAAAAAATTTTTTTCTTCTTTTTGCTTATGAATGGTCAAACATCCCCGGACTGAATATAACAGGTGTCATATTTACAGTGGACACCCAACATGGCATCCAAAATGGCTGCCAAGCGGCAGAAATCGAACTTCAGAAAGTTGTAGGGGGGAATTGTTGTTATAATAATGATTACTTTTTATAACTAAGGTAAATGTAAACTAGGTTGACATATTTTATGTCTCAAGTTAAGCTACAAGCTAATTTTCTTTTTTTAATAAATGGAATTAGCTGATTGATCAAACGAAGTTTTGCCATTTGTCAGAAAAAAAAAATCCACCCGGGGGTAATTTGAATGGGTCGGTCGGGTTACAGGAAACAAACATATTTTTTTTTTAGGCCCCAGCTGTAGTCAACTGATCAAACTGTAGACATTTGAACTATGTGTCATGCATTATTCTTTGAACTATGTGTCGTATGCATTATTCCTGCATGCCAAATACTCCAATCTTCTTTCAGTCTTCGAAATAACCCGGGAGCCCGATGCCCGTGACCTGTTTAATTTGTCCGCGGGCATGTGAAAATTCTCAAATTACATGCCTGAAGGGCATGTGTGAATTTTTTTCGATGTACGATGACTACTTACCATTTCTTCTGTCATACTCATACCCCAGTTATTCGCGTAAATTTGCTATGTAATGTCTTAAGATGAATTGCCAGTCTACATTCGTCTTACGTAACATTATCGGTACGACCTGTCAAATGATTGTCAATCGTAATCATTAAAGTGTTTACTTTAACCTATAGATTTGTTTTATCAAAGTTTCTTTCTAAATTACGATAAGTTTATTGATGCCACGTGCAGTGGACTGCTGTCATGATCCTGGTTCTGAAATTCAGTTCAGCTAAACCGGCCAACAAACGACCAGCTTGCGAGTCAACAGTTGTGAACAAAAGCGCGTATGAAAATGGCAGACAGACAGGCCATGGTTGATTTATGACTCAGAAAACAATTAAACTTAAGATCTAGAGAATTTAAAAACAGAAACACTGTCCTTATAGTTAATATAACAAGAGGCCCATGGGCCACATCGTTCACCTGAGCACTGTGGCTAGGAAAAAGTAGAAATTGGTTTATTATTGAAAAGTTTAAATCCAAAAGTAGTCCCATGATCAATCATGGCTTTCCTATTCTTAAGAAGATGATTTTTAAAGAATTTTCCTATATATGTCCATGTTAAATTTGATCGGCCATTGTGGCCCCGCCCCACTCCCGGGGCTCATGATTTGAACAAACTTGAATCTATACTACCTGAGGATGCTTCTATATAAATATGATCAATTATGGCTTTGTTATTCTTGAGAAGAAGATTTTTTCAGAATTTTCCTATATATTTCTATGTAACATTTCGGTCGGCCATTTTGGCTGCGCCCTACCCCGAAAATTCATGATTTGAACAAACTTGAATCTACACTGTTTCCCCATAAGTTTCATCTTTCCTGGCACAGTGGTTCTTGGGAAGAAGATTTTTAAAACATGCCACCAAATTTTCATTAATTCCCAATTATATCCCCTTGAATGAGGGCGTGGCCCTTCATTTGAACAAACTTGAATTCCCTTTACCCAAGGATGCTTTGTGGCAAGTTTGGTTGAAATTGGCCCAGCGGTTCTTGAGAAGAAGTCTAAAAATGTGAAAAGTTTACAGACAGACAGCTAGATAGACAGACGGGCGCCAGACAAATGTGATCAGAAAAGCTCACTTGAGCCTTTGGCTCAGGTGAGCTAAAAACCTTATATTTTGTTGTACAGTCATAACTGCTACATGATAGAATTTTGAGTAGGGCATGTACAAATTCAATGGGCTGGGTAAAAATTATAGGTATACATGCCTAAAGGGCATATGCTGAAAAAAATTTGTTGTGGAGACTGTTCTTTATTGTGTAATAATTTAGCAAATGTAGCTCTTTCATATGGTCAATTTGTAGATGTTTTGACTTCTCAAAAAACCATATGGACCTTTCACCTCAGTAGATATACTTTCCTGTGAAGTCAATATATCTAAGGATCAACCTCATGACAGGGCTATATTTGTGTAATAATCATACCTGATGACGTTTCCTTTTGCCTTTTTTCATCTGTACTTCATCTTCATCACTGTCTTCAGAAATCTTTTTCTTCCCAGTCTTACTCCTGGCTTTGTCATCTTTAGATTTTTTACCAGTTTCTTTCTGTGAGGTGTCATGAAATTCAGAATCAGAATCACTGTCTAGTACATAGATTTTCTTTTTCCTGGTGTCCTTTTGTTCTGTGGATTTTTTGGGAGTCTGTTTTTTATGGGAACTGATTTTATCTGCCTTACTAGTTTTCTCTTTACTGGTCAATTTCTTGGATGTCTCTTTGCTTTTTGACTCTTCTTTTGTCAGTGTCTCTTTTCCTCCATCTGATTTCTTGCTAGACTTAGCAGTGAAAAAACTTCTTATGTCCTACAAATACAAAATTAATAAACAGTGTTTTCAACAACCTTAAAATGTTCATTGGCGAACAAAGGATTGATGAAGGATGTTTTTTTCCTTTCTGTGGAACAGACTGACTTTTATCGTTTAAAAAAACCTGATCAAATATCTGCACAATTTCTGAATTGTCTCCCCTTGAAAGAGGGTGTGGCCCTTCATTTAAACTTGAATACCCTTTCACCTAAGAATGGTTTGTGGCAAATTTGGTTAAATTGGTCCAGTTGTTCTTCAGAAGAAGATGAAAATGTGAACAGTGTATGACATTAAGTGATTTATGAAAACAACGACAAACAAGACAAAATTTGATCAGGTTGGGCACACACCGCCAAATGGTCATTTAACCCCCGTTTGGTGGTCAATCGCCCATATCAATGTCGTTTTTACCTACCAAATGGTGGTCTTTTTTATTCAAATCCTATTTTTATTAAAATAAAGCATAAGCGCAATTACTTAGGCATTGGGGAATTTTAGTTAACATATTCCTTGCACAATTATTACAATTTAGTCAATTTTCCATGTGTGATATCTGTGGAACTTTGTAAAAATGATATGCACAGCTGTTCGTGACGGTCGAACTATTTGCTCAAACAATACGAAAAAATATTTTGTTGTGTATAGTTCTGTAAAAATTATATTTAGACAAGAGGTGTTAGTCTAGAGAAGTAACTTTTCAAACGATCTATCGATCTGCGTCTATATAAATCTCTATGAAATCCCGTTAAACACGAGCTCCTCATATCTTATTGGTATGATAGGCACTTATTGCTATAATATTCATCTTTTCTACAGTTGAATCTAACATTTATTCTTTATTTTCTTTTAGGATGAAGTAACGATTTCTGTGCGACACTTTGTGGTTTAGTATGCATATCTATGATGTATCTACTATATCTAGGGCTGGGATGATACAACTTTTTCTATATCGACACGTATCTCAATTTTTGAGCCACGATACGATATGTATCACGATATGTTTGATTGCTTATAGAATCTTTTTTTGCATTCAAATAAACAAATTATTTCTTTGCAAATAAGAATAATTTATTTTAAAAAAAGTTCTTTATATATTGTAAAAAAAAAATATTTGACTCAAGTGGTGTTAATTATTATTTATTTCATATCTTTATTTATATTTAGCTTACTTATTTTATGTATTTAACCCTAAATGTTAAATAAACAAAGAAAAACAGAAGTCAAGATTTTTTGGGCGATATTTCGATATTTCTTCATATGTATCGATATGCATATCGTCCTCACATATATCATGATATATCGATATCTCGATATATCGTCCCAGCCCTAACTATATCTATAAAATATTTTTGAATAAAATATTTACAAAGTGAAAGTTGAAATTATTCTTGTTTTTATTCCAAGATTATGGTTTTCAAACGATGATTTTGTCATGAATTCACCGTATTCCTTATTTTTATACAGAATAAAGCCATTGCATATGAAATAAACGAAATAAAGCAAATTCTTACCTTTCCTCTTATTTTACTCTTTGAAAATTAACACTAATAGGCCTCCGTTATTAAATCAGTCTTTTGACCAAGTTCAGAAAAGATCGTAATTTTTAATTGGTTTAGATAATTGATCGGTTGCCCGGATGACAAAAATATGAATGGATAAACACGATTGATAGGTGAAGCTATGCCCAAGATGGGGGGAATTTTTCTTTTTAAGGTAGTTCTATACTCGGCACTAAATGGGCTCAATCTTAAAAAATCTGCTTTTAAAAGATAGACATACATCCCAGCAATGGATAGATACAAGAAAAATGATATGTCAACATATTTACTTTTCCGCTATTGCCTATCGGAGTATATACCCCGAAATGTAAAATACTGAAAATTTACCTATCCTAGATTTTGTTGTATTTAAGGCCAGCATTTTTTTTATTTTTAGGTTTACAAACCCGCCGCTCGAGTTTTTGAATTTTCAGAAAAAAAATAAAATTTAGAAAAACAGAATTTTTTCTTTCCGATGTCAAATTTGAGTCGGGATCGAGATTTCAAATTTACGAACTCGTACTTTCGGTTTCAAAAAATGGTAACGAACTTACGAAGGTAGATTTGTCAAGTCCATAGCAGCACTAAACCTTGGTTTAATGTAAATATTTATCGATAGGAGTTCCATTCAAAACGTCTCACTCATTCAGGGAACAAATAAAGTGCTGACAACTTTGATGCACAATGACATGTTGGTGAGATAATGTATCGGTATTCAAAAGTATCTGTCATCTGTCTGTAAATTAATTTCCTCCCACAGGTTTAAAACTGCCCATGGTAGCTCTTGTCAGAGACATTGTTTAAGTTTCTGTTATAGCTTTCAGTCTTAGCATCATTCTTCAGAAAGGGGTTGCTTATGCATCAGATGTAATGAATAAAACTATGGGAGAGGTTAAGTCCATTTGAGGAAGAAATAAACAATTATAATTTTGCCTAAAGAAACAAAATATTTCAAATATTTGAAAACAAGTATATACAAAATTACAAATATATACTGGCAGGTAGTATCTTTTGTGGCAGTCAGAAAAATTATTTTACACTTAATTGAAAAAAATTCCATCCTACTCCCCTAAATACTCCCTTTCTGTTTTAAGAAAGGAATTATTATCTTTCAACACATACATCTAATACATATTAAAAAATTATATTTAATATGAAGATATATATATATGTGTATATTGAAAGAGTATTAAAAATCTGGGTTTTTTTTAATCTGTATTTTGTCCAACATCACAAGGTTTATCATTTAAATCACTGGCCTCAACTGGTAAACAATTAAGGGTTCTATTTTCCCCTTTGTAACCCTTATGTGTCCAGTGGCAAGGAGCCTGTTAGGAGAGCATTAAAAAAGAAGCAAAAATTAATATAGAAAAAGTCGATAATGTATCCAAAAAAAAAAATTTTATTTTTTTTTTATTTCTTCCTCCTACGGGACTTTTTCATTCTGATGTTCGTAAACCTAAAAATAAAAAAATGCTGGCCTAAATGGATTCAAGTCTAAATATTCGACTTTAATACCCTAAAGAGAGTAGAAATATGTTAGTCAACAATATATAATCATTGTTTTGCATGAATTATTATAAATTGATGCACTTTGTTAGGCTAACGTATTAAAATTTAATATGAAAAAATATGCTCCACAGGACAATCTCGATCATTTAAAAAAAATTATGGACTCAAACTTCGTAGAATTGTATTATTTTTACTGAATAATATTCAAGAAAAAGATTAAGCTCAAAAAAATTATATGTTGACGCATTACTTTTCGTGGTATGAGCTCTACACTAAAGGCACCCCCCTAATTTCCTTATTCCAGAAATAACATATCGCCACATTTTCCTGTAATACTGTTAATGTTTGAGTGTATATTTGTATTAACAAAGTTGTATATATTTAAAACAATAATTAAACACACCCAATACCTATTGTCACTAAAATTTATCTTATTTTACTCTTAAAAAAATTAAAACACACTTGTCTGTAAATTGGAGACAATGAAAATGAAAGTGATTGACTGATTCTCACATACTGGATAATTTTGTTACAGAAAGTAAGTATGCTGCAAGTGAATCAACTTTTGTCATATACTTATATTCAAAAGATAATTTTGCATTAATTCGTGGGTAAGCAGGTTGGGGAGGGGGGGTGCGTCTTATACAAAATAATTATTCAAAGTAAATTTTGTACTGTTTGATTAGTAAAACTTATAAACTGTCTAAGTCAAATCGTAGTCATTACTTTTCTTCCGAATTATCACTATTAGCTTAATTTTGGCCGCCGACAATAGTCGCGAGAGTTTGATACAAATCATACATGTTATGATGAAGCAAGTTCGTGGTCCGTGTTATCGGCACGGCATATAGCACATGCATCACTCACAGAAATATCGTTTTATTACCTTATTATTTCTGTCAACCCAAAGTTGTTCCCAGCCTTCTTTTTTAATTAATTTATCCTTAAAACTGTAGAATCAGTGTTTGTATGTTTGTTGACGCGAGCGACTTGGAGCAAAATCGTTACCGGATATTTAAAACGCTAAGTAAAAGCCTAACCAATATAGTTAAAAAATCACATCTCGGAAAAAGGAAGCGCGGTTCTGGTTCTACTATTCGTAAATGACATAGTGCGAGCATAGACCTACTTTAGAAAAATCACAGAAACATTACGTGTTTACATAGGTGACGATATTGTCAAATATTTAAACAACACTGCGCAAAAAATTCCGCGTTGAAAATCTGATTTTTTTTCGTTCAGAGTACAGATAAATATTGTATCTATATTTTATTCCCCGTGAGTTAAAATTATGCGCCATTTCACACCATTCCAGAGAACTTAACAAAACGATTTTTCTCCCCCATTTGGTAGGTAAAAAACGACACCGATATGGGCGATTGACCACCAAACGCGGGTTAAATGACCATTTGGCGGTGTGTGCCCAACCTGTTGTTCAGAAAAATTCATTTGAGCTTTTGTCTCTGGCAAGCTAAAAGAGACAAACATTTGATTCCTGGTAAGGTTGGGTGTATGGAAAGGGGGTGGGTGGGTGGGTGAAACCTCCAATACTAATAGACTGAAATAATAGACTTAATATCAGTTTTTTAACCAAAGAGTAGACTAAGTTATTGTGCGCCTGTTATGCTCCCACTTCCACAACGTTTCAGGATGTGACAGCGCATATCTCGGGTTTATTTCATATATTTGGATCCCAAGATACACTACTTATCTCTAACAAAGAAGTGCGCATTAGAATTTCAGGTCTAGATTACCGTGTTGACTGTTCTCTTCAGGTCAGGTAATCGAGCTCGAATTTCCTCGAATTTTTTCTCACGAAGAATTGATTTTATTCGTAACAAAAATACGCCCTACCTTGATTCAGGTGATCAAAATATTGTCTTGATACTATAAATAAGTTACAATATCTTACCATAGTGTTTGAAGTTTTTGTGTATCAAAAAATGGGGAAATATACACATTTGTTAATGTCCATTTCGCGCCAACTTAAAACGGAAGTTGATAAGGGAACACAAAATTAAAACCAAACGTAGAATTTTTTCCGATATAGCTAAATAAGATCAATTTCAGAAGGTTGTTGCTAGAAACCAACTCGTCACATGTGAACATTAGCGGTATTTATTTACTTACATATATTTATTTAACCACAAACTTAGATAAGAGACCTAGCTTCGTATATGTGTACAATAGGGTACACTTCGAAAACAGAAAAAACAAGCTAATTCAGAGAATTCGTGTCCCCCGCTTAGGGAAAAAGTCGGATCCCCCTGACTGAATTTGTAGAATTATTAAAGGTATACATGTATACTGAGGCAAATAAAATACATGTATGTCAATATCCATATAAAGATTTTATTGCTTATTCTTTATTATGTGTCTAGAAGATTCTTTTTATATGGAATATTTATCACACTGTAATGATGATTTTATAACCTCATAAATTTTTCATTTCACATGCTGAATACTATCATTTAGTAAAAAAAAAAAAGAAAAGTATTTAAAAAAAAAAAAAAAGAAAAAAAAAAGAAAGAATCGGGATTCGATCCCGGGACCTCTCACATGTGAAGCGAGAGACATAACCACAAAACCACGGAATCGCTCTACGTAGTGTGAATAGTATATGCAGAGCTAAAGTCACATACATGTATATATTCATGTTCGGTATTCTCAAAATTTTACACAATCCATGGTGTTTGATTTATTTAGCCTTTATTAAACAGTTCTAATAGATGTAATAAGAACATAAAGTCCGCCGAGAACCTGTTTTATACGCAATAACTCTCCTCATGCCCCTGCGCTAAAAATAGCGACATGTAATACTATAAATACTAATAAAACAAACGGGGCGGGGCACTTTGAGAGGGGCGAAAGAGGTCCTAGGGAGTTTTGGTATAAAATTACATTGCATAACTCAAAATCTTCCTGAAATATCGCCCGAAAATGATAGTGTTACACACAGAGAGAATGTATAAATTTACGACCTTGAACTTTGACCTTTTGACCTCAAAATCAATAGGGGTCTTCATTAGGTCACAGGGAGTTGTTATGTAAAATTTCATTGCAATAGCTCAAATGGTTCTAGAGATATCGTGTGGAAACGAACGTGTTTTAACAGACAGAATTTGCTTATTTATGACCTTGACCTTTGACCTTTTGACCTCAAAATCAATAGGGGTCTTCTTTAGTCCATAGGGAGTTGCTATGCTAAATTTCATTGCAAAAGCTCAAAGGGTTCTCGAGATATCGTGTGGAAACGAAAGCGTTACAGACAGACAGAAAGACGGACAGACGGACGGACGGACGGACAAACCCAAATTAATATCCCCCAGTTTTCAAGCGGGGGACAAAAAACATTGAAATATACCTGGTACATGTATCAAACCACTCACAAACATGCATTCATTTTTATTTATTTATTTATTTATTTATTACTTTTTATTAATTTACAAATTAAAATTGTGACACATTAATAATTCATGATTATGATATCCCTAAATTCATTTCTATCAAATCAAATGAAACTTCACACATCAACGAAACAAATATTTTTGAACATCATATGATATGCTTATAATGATAAATTTCTTAAAATTAGTATTACTAGGATTGACTTCGTCCACGAACTTTTCAAACATTCCTTGAACCTAGCTCGTGTATTCCTAAAGGAGAAAGTATGAAATCTGGTGTTTGCGTTTCGGAGTTTATTTGCAAAATTTATTTATTTATAAGTAATTATACTCTCCCTATACATTTCACAATCAGATTAACGCCATAAACATACATATTAATTGTTAGGCCATTTTATACACATTGAATTGTCTAGGTTTTTTTTCGTTCATGACAAGGAGCACACGGCGGGTGTAACCGGTCGAGAGGGGATGCTTACTTCTCCATGACACCCGATCCCAATCTGATTTTTTGGAGGTTCGTGTTTGTTCTGCTGCTGATTTGTATTTAAATGGAATTTTAAGCATGATTACTGTTCGTTGTTATCATACAGTGTATATTTCATGTACACTTAATACAAATAATCATTATATAACTTAACAATTACTTCACTGGCTATTCTTCCTGTAGCATAAGTTCAATGTTTAATTTTTTAAACCGTGTGATTCTCTACAGATCCACTACTTGGAAGCGTTTCTTTCACTCCATAGCGTATTTTTTTCTTATATGAGCATATTTTTTTATGCTGTTCTGTTTCCTTGTAGACCGCCCAATGTCTGACACAGAGTTTCTGTGCCATTCACAATCTACATGGCTCACTTCTTACATGTATCCTGTTTCCCCGATTCAGCGTTTATAGAAATTTATTCTGGAAGTTTGATTATTTAAAAAGCATCACGAAATTGTATCGCTAGTTGCTGCTACGTGACTTTCTAGAACGTAATCTTTTTTTCCCTCAAATAATCAAAATATTAAGATGCATTTTTCACTTCCGTCGATCTCTCCAATTATATACTACATGAAGGATATCGAGATAACGAAACAGTATTCAATATCAAAGTCCATAAAACAATACATGTACAAATTAGGAGCAGAGCAAACATGGACCTCTAAAACATCAGAGGGATCAGGGGCCATGGAGGAGTGAGCATCCCCTGCCGACCGGTCACACCCGCCGTGTGCTCCTTGTCATGATGGAAATAACGGAAAAATCCGTCGTCAATTCAGTGTATTAATAAAGGACTAACAATTAGTATATGAAAAACGTCAGTCAGCATTTAATGACTCAATGGTAAATTGTATTTGCTGCTGACAAGGTCATTCATTGTATCGACCATAGAACTTATGAAATGCCGGATGACTTTAAACGAGACAGCTGATATTCTTGTTTCATCAACTTGTTTGTCAATATTTTACCTCGTTTTAGAAATTGTTCATACGTAGAGCACACTCTTGCGTATCGAATCAACTGAGATACATGTATATAAACTCCGTATGCAGATGATAAAGGTATATTTCTGCATAAGTAAGGGAAGGTGACGATAGAAAAGTTAAAGTCATCACGTATATCATAGAGCTTGGTTGTTAGATTACCATTGGCGTCTTTTTCAAGTAAAATATCCAAATATGAAACAGATGTATCAGACTCTGTGGTATCTTTTATCTTTTATCTCAAGCTCACCATGATATATCGTGTCGACATAGGAATGTAAATTACCATTGTTAATTGACAATACGTCGTCGATATATCTAAATGTTGAGTTGAAAGCCACAGCAAGTGTTTTCTTCTTTTAACGCATAAGATATTGCACAAATTCTGCTTCATATGAATAAAAACAGGTCTGCTAATAACGGAGCGCGATTTGTACCCATGGGAATTGCAATAGATTGTTGGAATACCTGGTCTCCGAAAACCACATAGACATAGTCAATCAGAAACTCAAACATCTTTTTGATGTCAACTTTAGAGTACACTGTACTTGTGTGTGCAATCAGAATGCGTTTTGCAAATGACCAATGACCAGGTAAGTAAATTTACGAGTTCCATTTATATTGAAAAAGTAGCTGTCAATGATATCGAAAAGCCTGGACTTAAATTTATCATGGGGAATGGTTGTGTATAAAGTTGAAAAGTCGTAGTTTTTAAGCTGTTGATTTTGGTAAAATCTTGTGATTTCAAATTGCCAAAAGTTCCCTGGAATTTTTGAGCATCGACATCTAATTCAGACCACTTTTTGAATATATTGTTGCACAGTACTCTTGAAGTTTTTCCTTCACTTCTGTGAATATCTTAGTGAGAAGTAAAGAAAGAGGCTTGGTTGAACACTTACTGGAACCCGCAATATACTTAGTATTTTTGTTTGTAAGGATTCTTATGAAGTTTCGTAATCCAGTATATATACGAGGGTTGATCCAAAAGTAATGTCATAGTGTCCATCTCTTTAATATTTGGCGTCATATCATCAAAACATAATATACCAAAAGATGCACAAATATAAATCTAATCAAATTTTAATTTTTCATTCAATAATGTTTAACTAAATTTATTTGATAGATGTTTAAAACATACAACATAAGGGGTGTCGCCGCGGCACGACCGAACGTCACAAATTAAAGTCTACCTTTTTAGTGTAAAAAAAAAAAACAAACACATTAAAAAGCATCTTTTTAAGGCGCCTAAACGCAAAATATTTTAGGGAGAAAAATTTACATCATTTTCTAGTCTTAAATTGGAAATTATATGTCATCACTGCTATTTTTGATCAAAAACATCGTTGTTTTACTCCGGTGCATTGAAAAAAGGAAATGTCGAAATGGACAAAAAAGACAAAAACTGTAATGCATTTTTGCTTCAAAATGGAGAAATCGCCAGTAGAGACAGTTACGTTTATTCACAAGACTTTCAGATGAAAGAATGTAAATAAGAGACTTGTTTAGATGGTTTCAGCGATTTTGGGTGGGTGATGGGTCATTGAATGCTCAGTAGATGACAAGAAAACCGAAAGATGGGAGGGCTGACGGAAACATTCAATGGTGCGTGACGTTGTCAAAAAAGACAGACGGTTAGAGCGATATGTGAAATTTTAAGTTGGTCTTTTAATACTGTTCAAAGAATTTTGACAGAAGAATTAATTATGAAAAGAGTGGGTGTACGATGGGTACCAAGTTTTCTTTAAGAAAGTGAAATTTGTGAACGTGTTCGTGGATCTCAAATCTCAAACATATTTTTAATGAAACGAATCCGTCATATGACGTTGTTTAGGTGCGGCGACTACCATAATCGCACGTTGTATATAATCCGATATTTTGAAAAGTGTAAATCATATTGAATTCAAATTTTCAGATCTGATTTGAAATAAATGTTACTTTCATCATGAATAATTTTGTTGTTTTACGTCGACGGGTAGCGTTTTATCGAAGTTGTGACATTACTTTTGGATCAACCCTCGTACAATAGTTCAAATTCATTTTGGTTCTTCGGGATATTAAAAATATTCAAAACAGACATATGATTTTGAGGAATTTCTTCCTTAGAAATGGAACTATGAGTATAA